AGTTCTGTATGAATAAATAAATAAATCTTAAAAAAACAAAACTAAACTAAAATGTCCTTAAATGAGCCATTCTACTAGCTCTCTCTTAAAAATGCCTCTCTATATATTGCAATGTCTTTGAAAGTGTTGAGTTAAGTAACCACTGGAAGATTTATTATAACCTGACATAGTAAACAAGAGCTCAAGCAACAAGTGTAGGCAATCTGCCATGCGCTCTCCACTGTGTTTTATGTTTTAAAAGTAATGTGGGTTTATGTATTGGAAGCAAAGCAACTTAGGGATTTGATCTTAAAGTGCAGACATGTCTTTAAATATTGACATTGAAGCAAGATTTATCACTAAGATTTCAGGAAGTAACGTGCTTAAAGAACCCTGGAAGGATTGATTTGTTATCTATGATTCTTGACCAGAACCTCCACTTACAAAATATATCAGGGACATAAGAGAGCTTAGGATATTATTCAAAAAGTGGTAAACCCCTGTATAGTATATTAGTATATTATATTGGAGGTGTTTTTTTTAAATAAAATAATTGGTCCTGTTCTAGTAAGTAAAATAACAATTATGGTAGCACCATCAGTATTAATTAGGGGAATGCTGGATTGCTAAACTTGGAAATAGGGCAGCTCTCTGCTGCCCACCTTGTCTATATGGGTGGTTTTTCTTTTATTCTCTTTTTAAAGCTTTATTTATTTGTGCATACAGAACTGGGGTACAGGCCAGAGGTGCAGGGGCAATGAGAAGATTGACCAGAGAGAGAGTGGGAGCAGTACAGGCAGATTGGCAAACTACACTGCTGAGGGGAGCAGTGGGTGGGTCAGGAGAGGTCTGCTGCGCCATGTGGGTCACCTCCCTTGGTTGGGGATCGAATTTGTGTGAAGCTGCTGCCTCTAGCTTCAGAGAGCTTTACTTTAACCCACTGCGCCACTAGGGAGGTCCCTTTTTCTCAAAGAACTTGCTGAGTGTTGATGAAAAACAAACAAAATGAGAAATATTAAGCATAATTTTAGTCCAGGGATTTAAAATTGTATTTTTAAAGTTTTGATATTTATTTTTAAGAATATAAGGCCACATTCCCACCTCTTATTTTCTAAGGAATGTTTCCACAACTGCCAATATATAACATGTAAAAGAGGATTTCTGTGACTGAAGGGTGCACAGTGGTGAGGGGAGCCACCGAGAAGGGGCATGTAGACAGATCTGATGGGACCCTGATGACTTGGAGTCATCATTGACAGCTGTGTTTGCCTTTGAGGCTGTCGGGAGACACACATTTTGCACACTTTCTGCTCTCCAAGATGTGGCTGATCTCTCTGCTCTGTATCCTTCCTTCCTTCTGGAACTCTTAGGTGAACCTCCTTGCCTGATTTACTCCACTGGCTTGGTGCTGGTCTCCTCATGAGTCCGAGCCCACCACTGACACTTGTCAGAGCTGGGCCTTTCCTCCACTTCCAAGCTGTCTTGGGCCCCATTCTCCAAGGCTTCATTTTTTTCTCTCTTTCCTTGGTTAACCTCTTTGTTTGTTTAAGGTTATTCTGTAGTAACTTCTGGGAAAGAGGGGGTGGGTGATAAGATGTTTATGTCTTGTAGATCTGAAAAGGCCTTTTAGTCTCATACTGGATAGTTTGGAGGGAGTTTATTTTTCCCTTACAATGGTGAAGGCATTACTTCATTTTCTTCTAGTTCTCAGGTTTCACTGAGAAGGCTGATGCCATACTTTATGATTCTTCTTGTAGTCAATCAATGAACAAGTATCCTTGTTCCTCCATATCCTTGTCAGTACTTTGAGTTGTCAGTGCTTTAAATTTTGGCCTAACAGCTGTGTAGTGGTGTCTCCCTTATTGGTTACATTGCATTTCCCAACGGCATGTGATGTGGAGTTGCAGAGACTGTTCACCACATCAGGTGATCTACTTATAGTTTGCAGAGATCAAGGCCATTATTCAGTTTATCAAAATCTTAAGGAAATTTTGTTCCCCCTAACTAAACCACACTTCTGCAAACATCCCCTCCATTTACTCTTCCCATCTCACTAAATGGCCCTGCTATCTACTAATTATTCCCCTCAGATACCCCGGAGTACTGGGAACCCACATCCGGCTCTGTCATATCTACTTATAAGATATTTCTAGAATCCATTCATTTTTTTTTTGCCACCCCCGTAGGCTAAACTACCCCCGTCTCTTGCTTGACCACATAACAGCCTGTCATATGTCTCTTTGATTCTTGCCTTTCACTAGTCTATTCTCTAGTAATCAGGTTTTTTAAATCACAAAGCAAATCATGCCATGTTTATGCTTAAGACTCCAGCAGTTTCCTAGCTCATGTTGAATAAAGTCCATGTTTATACCACATTCTGATCATGCCACCTCCCTGAAGTTTTCCAAGTCATGTGGTTCCTTATGCCTAGAAGTCTTCCTCCAATTCTTCCCTTAATAATAAATCCCTGTCATGTCTTGGTGTCAGCAGAAACTTCCCATACAATCCCATCTATTTAGGGTTCTCCCCATCTCCTTTGCATACATTTTTCTCCATCACTTCACCCTTCAGCATAGTCTTCACAGACTTAACAGATTCATAATTTCTTAGTTGGTATTTCCCTTAAGTCATCTGTCTGTCTGTCTATCTATCTATCATTTTTATATTACCTATCTTCTCCATCAGATTGTTAATTCCATTAAAGCACAGTCTGTTTTGTTGTCACAACATGGTATTTCATCAATATTTGGCACAAAGATGCACTTTATATTGGCATAAAGATGTACTTTATGTCTCTTTCTGCTTTTGACTTTATCTTACCTCTTTGCTTTAATTTTTTTTGTTGTGATTTTCTTACTTTCCATTCTAATGAGAGAAAAAAAACACAGTCCCAAGATCTACTCTGTGTTTCGTGGGTCAAAGAAATATTTCCTACTAGCTATATCTTCCCAGGGAACGTGGGACCCTCCACTTGGAGAAAGCCAGAGTGCCTTTCTAGATGCAGGTTCAAAGCTGCTCTGCATAATAATATCCAAGGCTTATTTTCACTTACTGGTAGGAGTGCATCCTAAGAGAGATTAGTATGATACTAGACTTTTCCCCCCTCTGATGAGAGCTGAGTTAAAATATATCTGGACTCTGGGTTCCAAGGAGGAATGATGGTTCTGAGCACTTCTGTTTGTGGGAGACTACCAGGGCCCTTTAGGGGCCAAAGGGTGTGAGTAGAGGGTCTCAAGGTTAACAATGGCCAGCAGAGGACACCCCTGGAGAAATAGGCCATTGGCTCTTTTCTCCTGCTTTCTGACCCTCGAGTGGAGCACAAGGGTGCCCTCCTTTACCTCCGGTACAGTTGTCCTAGGCCATGGCTCAGTGCCTGTGACCTGCGTGTGCTCTGCTCTTCAGGGCTTCTAAGGTGCCAGCAAGTAGCTGAGGGCTTTAAGTTCTCTCATTTGTATCGGGAAAGCCTGTGTTGGCATCAAGTTCGTCAATTTTCCCCAAGACCTCTTTCCCTATAGGTGCCACATACCACAATTTCTACACAAACATGATTTGCCTGATTGTGGCAGTCTGGGCCTGGAACAATTTTAATTAATGGGAAAATGGTCCTCAATACACCGATTAGACCTCTTCAGGTACAACAAGATAAAAGCCTGATAATTTGGATGGAGCACTCTTCTTAAATGTCTACTCTGTACACGGCAGCCAATGGCAATGCCAGGCTGTCTCCCACCTGATCCAATGAGTAATTAAGAGAGGGCTTTTTCTACCCCACCTCTCCCCTTCACCCCCCTCCCCAACTGAAGCTTAACAGGTTGGTGGTATAATTTGCAGACTTTAAGGGGTGTCATGCTAGGAGCTTAGGCAAGAGCCAGGGAATCTTCTCTCCAGCTCCAAGGCTCTGTCCAGCTGGGTTGAAAAGCAGGCAAGAGAGAAGAGGAAGGAGGTGGAATCAGGCAAAGAAGGTAACGTTTCTCAGCCAAGTTCCAGGGGCCTTGGCCATGAGCGAGCTTGGCACTCCGAAGACCAGTGACGGTACTGTTTCCCGCCTGCTCAACGTGGTGGAAAGTGAGCTCCAGGCAGGGAGGGAAAAGGGTGACCCTACAGAGAAGCAACTTCAGATCATCCTAGAGGATGCTCCTCTCTGGCAGAGATTCAAGGAAGTCACGAATGAAATGATCGTGACCAAGAACGGCAGGTGAGTTATAGGCAGCCCTGCTGGGGGTGGCTGGGCTTGGTAAGGGAAGTGAGACCCCTTAAATATTGAAGTGGCTGCCGCTCTTAACCAGAGGCTGCAGGGTCTGATTAAACTCACTTAAGGAAGGACGGATTCACGGCTTTCCCCCAGCCAACTTAATTAATTTCTTTGAGATCATCAGAGAAGTGGGGGGTGAAGCCACCTGTGTCGTGTGCATTTTCAATGGAGAAATTCTGAAAAATACTATAAAAGGGGCATGTCCCATCGATTTGGGAATTGCACTCAAATGTCAGAAAATCATATTAAGTTTTGGCTGACAGCACAACCTAGCGCAACCCTGAGCCCCAACTCTGTTCAGATAAAGTGAAAGTCAGCATTGTGTGGAAGCTGGATGGTTTCCTCTTAAGTCCAGCAAACTTGCCAGAAATGTATGACTAGTGGAAGATTGGGAGCAAAAGGGAAGATTTAATCTCATTGCCTATCACAACATCTGTTCCCTTGGATGTGTTTGCGGTGAGTGTTCATTTGAGATTTTGTGCACCCGTGATGATGTGAGAGCTGTTGCATTATAGTTAAAGAAGCTGTAACGTGCTCCCGGGGAGAAGAGGAGATGCCTTCTGCGTGCTCATCGCCACAAATTAGGGATTAACTGAAACTGATCCTTGTTGGTATTTCTTGGATTCTAGTCCACAAAGGAACGTCAAGTAATATGAGGAGTTTGCATTTAGTAGGGAAGATGCAAAAATTTTGCAAGAAAATGTTATTGCCCCCAGCATGTCCAAACTGGCTCCCAACATTTGGCTGATGCTCATGAATATTTGGTTCACACGATCACAAAAACATGAAGCATCCAAGCTCGTTTTCGGTTGAGTTACTTTTGCAGGTCTGTAATTGTGACCTTTGAGAGAAGTTTTGTTCTATCATAAAGTTAAGACCAGCTGAATTTTTGGAAGGTTGTCCCTGTACAAAATGTTTCTCTCCCAACACCTTGCTTTTCTAATGATGAATAAAATGCATATTGTGGAAAGTAAACTGTTCTTTGTTTAGCAGGAGAAATTATGAATTCGAGTGACAATGCAAGGCATAGAAATGTTTTGTCTGTGATTGGTGTAGCTGAAATAAAGATATTTCAGTAAATTGTGATTATCAGCTGTACTTGATGCTTGTTTTCAGGTGGGTCCTATACTTACTTCTATAGAGGATGCATTACTTTTAATATCTGTAACTATAATAACACCTGTTCCTACTCTTGATCAGTAATTAAACTTTTAGCCTTTTTAGTAGAAATAAATACAATGATGTGTTTTCAGTAACAAAAGTCACCCCAACTTCTTAATTGCATTTATTTTCTTTTCATTCAAAGATAAGTGATGATGCAATTATAAAAATTTCCTGTCTATTAATATGTAGAATTTCTGTTTATTGTTCTTCTTGGATAATAGTGACACTTACAGTGTCACAGCTATCTCTTTGGCTGGCAAAGTGGCCATATGTGAAAGTAAAATAAGTACAACCACCAGCTTCAACAATTTAAAACACTGTTAATCTATTTCAAAAAGAAGCAAATAATAAAAGTTTCTGAAGCCATTATAACACTCAGTTCATATTTTAGTAATGTTATCTTGGTGTGCTATAAACTATATAGTTTAATAAGAGATATCTCATTTTTTTATTGATGTAACTTTCTCTTTATATTTAAATTTTTTCATGTTAAAAGTCATTTATTTTTAACTATGTGAAAAATATTTTTTGTAGAAAAGGTCTAATTTTGGTCAAGTTGGTAATTTTTATTATCTGTGGCAGTCCTGCTTCTATTCTCCACTTTCTTTCCAACTCCCTGAACTCCTTAGGGTAAAGATTTTGTCAGGCAATAGAGCCTTCCCTTTATTTATTTACTTTTTTTTGAGAGTTCACTATACTTCAGAAACAGAAGGAAAAACTAATCTCAGAAATTAATTTTTGCTAATGTGTGAGTTTGACCTGGAATGACTTTCAATGTTTTAGTTTCTCAGGTTAAGTGGTTAACAGCACTGCAATACAGACACATCTTTCTCCTTGCTTTCCTCCTCTCTCTTTTTTCTCCTAGCCATCTATTCTAGCGTGTGCTTCTGATCATTTTCTGGTTATAGACTTTCTATGTCTTCCTGCAAATACCCCACCTCCAGTCCCACCAACTCCCACAATGATGCAGAAGTCTCTGGCCAGTTTCTGCAGAGAAAGATTCTTGGTGTTTGACACCCAGCTCAGCCCTTTTATTCTGGCTCTGTTAACTTTTTGGCTTTTCTAAAAATTTCATGGGAACAAAGTTAATGAACAAACAAGACAAAAAGCAAAATAAAAGCAAACTCTGACTGTTAGAAGTAAGTGGTGGTTATGAGAGGGAGGCAAAGGCAGGTGGATAAATCAGGTAAAGGGGATCAATTGTATGGTGAAGGATGGAAACTGGAGAAGGATGGAACTGGCTGCAGCCAGCTTGTGGTGCTGTGTCCTAATCATTGCACCACCACAGAGGGCAGGAAACTGGCATTTGGATGGACCATAATGTAGTATATACAGATGTTGATTTATAATGTTATACACCTAAGAAGTATATGACATGTAAAACCAATGTTACTCCAGAAAAAATTAAAAATAATAGGACAAATTAAAAAGATAAGTTTTTTGGGACTTCAGTACGTTGTTCTAATGGAGCAAGTTTTGAAATATCATTGAAATAACTGGATTGATGAAAGATTAGTTATAAACCTCATTTTCACCTGGAGACCTGCCTTACGACAGATGCAAATGGAGGTTTGCATCGGACTTTGATCCGAATTGAGGATTTTCCCCTGAAAAACACCTAAATTTTCCCAGAAATTAGAATCTGTTGGTTCCTCTTTTGTGCTCTCTCCTCTCTCTAGTCTCCATCACTCACTTTCTCCTTCCATTTTACTTCTTTCCTTTCCCTTTATGTTCTTTTGACCCTCTTTTTTATTTAAAATTTTAGTGATTCATATTTGACAGTCTTTCAGGTATCACAATGACGCATTCTCAGAGCTCATTTGAATCTTCTCCACTGTATCCAGTTTGTGTTTCTTTTATCCACATCCTTTAATCTGGGAATTTATATTTTAGGTTGCGGAAAAAGAACAATTGATTTTATGCTTCAGAGGCAGATAAATGAAATCTCTTGCAGTTCTTGTTTTCTTTATTGTAACATCTTCCCCTTATGGGAAAATGCTATATTTCATGTGTGTTTCCATACAATTAATTAATTTTGACTTAATTCCGATTCAATTTTCTGTGAGAAGGTCTTAAGAAATTTGAAGTATTTCTGATTAACTGGTGAGTCCACAAAATAAAATAAGAGGTGGAAGTCACTTGCATTGATCTTAGCAGTGATGAAAGGATGTTGTTGCAGGAGCTGATATTTACAGTTTCCAAGGAAGGCTACCCAAAAGGAGAGAAAATGAAGTTTATACATCTTTACAGCCCATGGAATTTTTTTTTACCAGCTTACAGTTGTAATATATGAGATCATAGGTACTGGTGTAAACTGCCTCTAGTCAAGTTATTTGGTTCCTTGTTGCTATTCTTATGCAGTTTAACTAAGTACAAGTAAGTTTCAACAATCACACGTGTGTGCACACACACCCTCACTTACTCCTACGCTCCACGAGTATTTCATGAATATTACAGGTTTTCTATAAAGTTCTCTGAATTTTGCCATTAACTATCTCTGCAGGTCCTCCCCTCCAAGAAAATCTGCCTCATCTCTCTTGCCTTTCCTCTTGCTAACCTCATTCCTCACAGCCTTTTTCAGAAGCTAGATCCTCTGTGAGAGAAGTAACCATCCACCCTGCCCCCGTAAAAAAACAACACAAAATACTATATAACAAGGTAATATAAAGATACAGTACTTGTGGGCAAAGTCCAGTCACTTGTGGTTCTTCAGACATGGTCTTGGGGCGTGCTCGTTCACCTTGCCACTGCATTTGCTTCTCCTTCCTCTTATCTTCCCCATTATCACTTAATTCAAACAGTGCAGGACTAATTTACACACTTCTCAGTAAGCCACAACTTGAGAAGTTAGGGGAGACATCAGCTTTCATGGAAGTGCATGTCATCCTGAAAGCGAAGCTGGTGTGAGTCCTGCCCACAGGTAACTATCCTCGATAAAACATCCCAGGGTCTGAGAAGGTGAGAATCAGCTACCAGGGGCGAAACAACTTAAGAGGGAAAGGGAACGCAGGAGGGGAAAATACAAAGAGGGCAGGTGTTAGAATATGTATACTCACCATAGTGAGTATACACTATGGTGGCAATAGCTATGGGGGCACCCCAATATTACCTCAGTTAAAGAGAAATAAATTAAGTAAAGTAAAAGAATGGGTCGGGGGAGAGGTGAAAAACAGACAGGATAGGAGGTGAAAGCACAAGTCCAAAAAACGCGTCAGCTCAGTCCTCTGCAGAGCCTCAGGCGCATGCGCTGGCGGTCACGTGACTGACTGGAGCGTGGGCTCATCACCGCTGCCAGACATCGCAAAGGGGCCTTAGGTCACACGCTGCTAGCCTGAGAAAAGATCGAAATTCAAAATATGCGTTCTACTGAATGGTATCGCTTTCACACCATCTTAACGTTGGAAAAATCATAAGCCAATCATTGTAAGTCAGGGATCCTCTGTCTGCCTCATTTTGTTTATCCATTCATTAGCTGATGGATGTAAGGGTTGTTTCCCCTTCTGTGTTTCTGTGAGTAATGCCACTGTGTACTCTTACATACATGTTTTATGTGGATGTGTGGTTTTCCTTTTATTTATTTATTTATTTTGTATATATGTCCAGGAGGGGACATACATAGTAACTTCTTATTGGTTGAGAAACTTCCAGAAAGCTTTCCCAAGTGACTGGACCATTTTACATTCCCACTAAGAAGACATGAGGGTTCCACTTGCTCCACAGTTCCCACCAACCCTTGCTATTGTTTGTCTTTCTAATCACAGCCATCTAGTGAATGGGAAATGGCAGAGCTGGCTTGCAATTCCTTGATAGCTAAAGGTGTTGAGCTTCTCTTCCTGTGATCCGTGTTTCTCTAGAACAGCAGAGGTAGCTCCAGAATGTAGCATAAAAGAAAAAGAGCCATTGCACATTTTCTTATTATTATTTCTAAAAAGTCATGATGAGAGAGAGAGACACCTTAATCTATTAGCAGTTTAAGTGAAAAAGTGAATTTCCTCTTCCTTTTGCCTTAGCCACACTTCCTGACTCCAGTATCCAAGCTTATCTGGACCTCATGTCATGTACTTGCTGTTTCTTGTGTGTGTGCGTGTGCATTGCTTAACTCATTTCTGGCATATACTTTGTTCTTCTTATTTAGGTCTTAGCTTTAAACATCATCCCCAGACCTATCTGCCATCATCAAGAGTAGTTCCTTACTCTCCCTCTGTGACATCACCCATTCTAGTTTCCTCACAGCACTCCTGAAATCCAAAATTACCTTTCACATTAAAAACCTTGCATGACTTCTCTATAAGAAAGTATGCTCTGTTTATAAGAGACTCAATCTGATTTTTTTTTTTGCCAGAGTTCCTGGTATAGAGTAAAGATGCAAAAATGATCTGTTAAACAAGTTATTAATCTCTAATCAGGTATTAAAAAATTTGGGGACACATTGAGAGAATTAAGTTGGAATAGTATTTAGCAAAAGGTGTGAAAAGGAAATGTAGATGAGGTGAAATGAAGAAAAAACTCCCATCTATATCCAAAGAGCTCAGGAAATTTAAATAATTTAAACTCAGGAGACAAGGGGGCCTGGGTGACTTGAGCCCATTTCTAAATCCACCACTAATCACTGTTCTGTTCTTGTTCTTTCCATAGCTAAAAATTCTCATTCTACCTTCTCAAAGCTGGGCACCTCTAAGTCCAGCCAGATGTCCTTCGTGACCCTGATCCGCTCATCTGTGCCCATCCTTGCATCTAACATGCCTGGGCCTGACATCACTGGTCCCCTTGGCAGTGGGCACATTCTGCTTTCCCCCTTTTCATTCTCCTGCCAGCCTCATCAGAAGTGCCTACTAGTGGGCAACCTCTCCCCTGCTCCCTTGATTTCACCTCCTAGCTACTGTCTTTAAAGATAAAGACACTCTAGACTGGGACTTCTCAACCTTCAGATTTCCTGTGTCTCACTCAGGGACAATTTTTTTTTTTCCATCTCAGCTGTAATCTCCGTGGGCTTCCCATCACCAAATCAACCATGTGCCATCACCATAGTCTAGTGCTCTCCCTCCTGCCCCCCCCCCTTGATCCCATTTCCTATTCCACCCGGGGAAAATTTCTCTGGTATATAGGTAAAATTTCTCTGGTATATAGTTATTCATTAGTATGCTCCTGCTATGAGTGAAACAATTTGGTATTTTTCTTTTTCTTTCTGGCATATTTTACTAAACTTGATTCCTTCCAGCTCCATCCATGTTGGGGCAAAAGGCATGAGTTTATTTTTTTGATTGCTGAGTAATATTCCATTGTATATATGTACCACATCTTTTTAATCCAGTCATCTACTTTTGGACATTTGGGTTGATTTCATGTCTTTCCTATTGTAAATAAAACAGCAATAAACATGGGTCACCCAGGGACTTTTGAAAGCACAGCTCCCCCTTGAGAGTTTTGAGGTTCTGTGTTTCTTGTAAACTTCTGGCTGGTACTGATGTTGCTGTATCATGGGCCACTGAAGTACAAGGGTTTATGTACTAGATTGTTACCTTCTCAGCTTAAGGACTGAGATTTTGAAAAAAGTCAGCGTCTGAGGCAACCAGGTGATGAGTGTGTGCGTCTGGAAACTAGGTCTTTGAAAAAGACTGTAACAGCTCAGGTTGCTCCATGAAGGAAAAAACATACCAAAGGAATTAGAAACCATGTTGGCGGCTTCTCCAAATATTCTCAGGAATCAACTAGTGGGTAGGTATTATTCTAGAGGATGGGGGCCAAAGACTCCAGTACAACATCTCAAGTATATTCCTTGAACACAAATCCCCACTAAAGCTTCAGAGACATTTCTCCTGTTGCAGAATCTTGGGGAGTTCACAATTCCCACACCTTCTCAAAGTCTCGTGGGACACCCTGCTTTATTAAAGCCTTGAGAAGTCCTTCAGACTTGTTAGAACTGGGCTAACTTGGGCAGCTTAGTGTCCTCCTCACTTAATTTGCCACAAAACCTTGCTGTCCCTGTTATTCAGAATTGGTGTCCGTTGTGAGCCTAGGAAGGACTGCTTTGGCATTAGTGTGAGAACCCAATGCATGCTGAAGAAAATCTTTGAGGAAAGCGCTGAGAACCTGGTGTTCGAGCATGCATCTTGGGCTTCAGATTCTTCTGTTAAATTTCAACTAAAACAGTGACTTTGGAATGGAACATGATGTTTAAAGTAAAACGGTTGTATAAAATGCATTTATGAAGATGAGCTCTGTTGGAATTGGAGCCAGTCTATATGCAGTTTTCCCTAACCTGGCACTCTCCGCACCCCCAGGCACTCTGTGAGTGGTCTCCTCAGAGGGGGACCACTCTAACATCTCCCCCGACCCGTGACTTGGTGTCTGCCTTTTTTTTTTTTTTTAATAGGCGGATGTTCCCTGTCCTAAAGATTAGTGTCACAGGACTGGACCCCAATGCCATGTACTCCCTCCTGCTGGACTTTGTCCCAACAGACAGCCACCGCTGGAAATACGTCAATGGGGAGTGGGTGCCTGCGGGTAAGCCGGAGGTCTCCAGCCACAGCTGCGTCTACATCCACCCGGACTCCCCCAACTTTGGGGCCCACTGGATGAAAGCCCCCATCTCTTTCAGCAAAGTGAAGCTGACCAACAAGCTCAACGGTGGCGGGCAGGTACGATCCGTTGCCTGGCCACCCAGCCCGGCCATCCCACCACACCAATCAAGAAATATCAAGGGTGCATTTAGGCAATTAGAGGGGTCCTCACTGGCCTCTTCTCCCACAGAAGCCAATTATTCCCCGGAGTCCAAATGTAAACAGGAATAAACAGCTCTTAATTGGCGCTTTCAGTTTTTAATGGACTTCCTGATGTTAAGAGAGAGTGAGAGAGCGCCGCAGTTTACTTAATCATGAGGACCTTTCAGAGTTTCGTCTTGTGCGCGGTGCTTTTTACCCAGCCCTGGGAGGGAGATGTTTGTGGGTACCGGGGTTTTGTTATTCTCTCTCCCCTTTTTTTGGTGTAAGTGGTATGTTGGCAATAGACAAAAACCTTGATAAAAAGCTGCTCCTAATGAAATAATTGCTACTTCCACTTGGGCATTATGATAATTATCAATAGAATATTGAATCAGCTTTGGGTTTTCAGAAAAAATTTCAAACAAACCTTAAATAAGGGAGGTTTTATTTCAAGTCTCCAATTAGAGTAAACAAGATTTGGGTTTTTTCCCCTTTTCTTTTCTCCTGTAGGATTGAAGTACTGGTGAACTAGTTCATTGTGGACGATTTGGGGGGATTAAAAATAGGACTGTGAGGAAGAAGTCTTAGTACCCCAAGCCCCACCTCCGAATGTGGCTTTGGTCAAACTCTCAGTCCTCAGTCTTGCATTGGAGGAGGGGCGTCTATTCTCCCCAGTTTCAGCAATGCTCAGAAGGTACCAGTTTTTTCATTAAAACAGGAAACTGAAAAGAAAACCATTACTGCCTACCAGATTTTACAACAGACTTTCAAAAAGCCTTTCATTTAAATTACAAACAGTGGAAAGTATGTGACAGTGACGAAGGAAGCCATTGCCCTTTGGGTGGTCACTTTCACAAGATGACCATGCAGTGTTAGGAATATTAGGATTCCTCATGTGCAGAACAGCAATATTTTAACAAATTGAAATCTGGATTGTCATGCTGAAATTTGGGAGAGGGAAGAAAAAGAAGCCAGGACTTGTGCAGAAAATTAAACCACCCCTCCCTGGTGATCCACCTCTTCAAAGTTGCTCCTTGGGAGCTTCTGGAAAAACTCCCCTCACTTGTTTCTAAGAGAGGCTCAATGGCAGCTCAGGTCACCTGGGATCCCAATGTGTGTCCTTGACTTGGTTGATCACTGAGTTTGGGACTGACTGGAGGTGCTGGCTCACGGATGACCAGTGACAGACCAGCTTTCCATGAGCATGCTCTCTCTTCTGCTGCCTCAACAGATAATGTTGAATTCTCTGCATAAATATGAGCCCCAAGTTCACATAGTGCGTGTTGGAGGCGCCCATCGAATGGTTATGAACTGCTCCTTTCCTGAAACCCAGTTTATAGCCGTGACTGCCTATCAGAACGAGGAGGTGAGTGTGTGAGTGTGTAAGTGAGTCTACTTGTATGCATGTTGGGGGAATGTGCATGTGTGTACAAGTGTGTGTGAATGTCACCTAGCACAGCATGGAGGCTTGGGCAGGGGTGTTTTCATTGTCTTGACCCAGGTTGAATGGAAGGTGGGTGTTCTGGGATGCATGCATTCAGCAGAGATGAAGTTGGGGCTTTGGGTAGCTACTTGCCTGTTTGCCAAATGCCCACCAGCATTTTCTCTCCTACTGCCAATGAGACATGGCTGTGTATTGCAACATAAATCAACAGAAAGCTTGTTATTGTGGCCTGTCGCGCCTGTGCCTCACAGAGAGCTGGTGTCTCTGTGAACCCAGGAGTGAGCCTGTGGAAATCCATCCAAATGTGCACCTTCTTGGCATTGCATTAAGTTGGCTGTCCTGGTTGTTAGTTTTTCAGAGCACATTTAGGGTTTTTCCTGCCTAATTTGAGCTACTCTGGTGACTTGAACTGAGTAGGTAGAATCCAGTCTTGGTGACTTGCTTGGAAACAGATTTTGGCGTCCATCTACCTGCTCTGGGAGTTCCCAGACCTACTGGTCCAAACACCTTGGGAGGGTTGGATTCTTTTTGAGTAAACGTAAAAAAAAAGGGAAAAAAATGCATTTTTAAAAAAGCATAGTGTAAATAGTACATAAGTAAATCAAGTAAACTTAAAGAATAAAAGGTAAAAATGTACTGTTTCTCGCCTGCCTTTAAATCCCACTTTCCAGGGACACTAAAATTAACAGCATTAAGTTTTCAACACATCCTATGCATATTACATAGGTATAAGAATACATATTTCCTCACATAAGTTGGCTCGTGGTATACATATATTAGGCTGCAGTTTTTTTTCCAAATTAGCAGCACATTATAGAAATCTTTCTGTATAATTAGATTCAGGCATCTCTCCTTTTATGGAATTTTGTTGAGGGTATGCCATACTTCAGGTAGTCAGTCCTCCACTGGATATTTAGATGGTTTTCAGTTGTTTCATTTTCTATTTTAAATAAGGCTGCAATATATCCTAGCACCCACATCTGCATTATTTGCTTGTTTGGGTAAATAGCTAGACATGAAACTGTTCTGTCAAGAAGAGTGCATGTTCAGCTTTTTGATAGACATTGTTAGATGTCTCCCTGCAAAGGGCATATCTATTTCCGGTCCTTGTTCTCAACCCTGATGGCTAGCAGCCTTTTGGCTCTGACATTGTGAGGGGGCTGAGAAAAGGGTATCTTCATGTCGCTTTAATTTGCATTTTCTGTTGGGAAATGTTAAGAGACTTCAGACTCCCACCCAGCCAACAGTCAAAATCTCCAGGGATGGTGCCCAGAATATGTTGTTTTAAAAGTCTCCAGAGAGAATTTTAATGAGCACCCAGGTTTGGAAGCTATTGCCTTGGTGAGTACAGGTGAAGCTGAGTTGTAGATTTAATTCATATCACAGATGTGCAAAGAAAATGTAATTCTCTTCTACAAGTAATCTGGTCTCTTGGCAGCCCTGATAGCTGGCCAGTGGGAAGAGACATCAACTAAATATCATTTAAACAGGTTCTCAGCTTGTGATGTCTTTGTGGGCTAAAACCCCATTTCTCAATAGCCCTCCCTCTTCCTTGAAGATGGAGCCTGGTTCTCTGAGGGCGGAATGTGGCTTTGGCAACTCTAGAAAGTGGGGAGTACTTGGGGACCACATCCTTGCTTCCCAGTCTCCAGGGCAATACTCTTTGCCCATTTATTTACCTCTTGCAGTCTTAGTGGGTGGCCTGCTTGGTCAGTGCTCAGTTTTTGCTGGACATAGAGCAAGAGAAGAAAAGAGAGGATAAAGGGAGTTGTAGACTGGGTAGAAGATATTGATTGGAGAATGGTGGATGGAAGCTAGACCTTCACTGGTGAGTGTGATGTGGCTGATATATTTCTAGAAGTGAGAGACAGTACATTTGAAATTTATTCCATAGTATACCAATGTTACTTTGGTTAAAAAAAAAAAAGAAAAAAGAAATGAAATGAAAATCTGAAAATAAGCCAAGGAAGAAGAGAGGGTAAAAGTGTTCTGTAGGCTCATGGTGTATATTCCACGTTTGCTAACCCTCTTATCTTTGCAAACACAAGATAACAGCTCTCAAAATCAAGTACAATCCTTTTGCCAAAGCCTTCTTGGATGCCAAGGAAAGGTGAGTAGAGAAAGCTCAGTAAAATTTTATGAATTGACTTTTGCAAATGTGAAGTTTAGGATCATCTTGCAAAGAACTGGACTAGGAGCACTTGCATGACCTTTGATAGAAATGTTTTCAATCATCACCATTTAACAAAGTCAACAAAATTCAATAAACTCATAATGATGTAGTTGGGAGAATCTTGTTTTGGGTAATGGGTAATGGGTTGGGAGAATCTTGCCCTGGCTTGCTTTTTGCCCTGCTTTATTATAGATTCTTGAAAGTAACACAACCACAGGCAAAAAAGGTGATTTAGATTTTTAATGATTTACTCCACCTTTCGCCTAACTATCTTCAAATAATATATTTTCAATAGATTTGTTAAACAAAAACTGCATTTAGCTCAGGGAAGGTGGGTATTTCATATGAGTAATTCATAAAGGTTACAAGTTCCTACCTTTTACCCTAAGAGGAGTCAGAGACATTAAGGGTATGAAATGACAAGTTTACATTTTGGGTCAGCTTTTTCTTTTCCTGTTTTTCCATTCTAGGAAGAAAATAAAAGACTTTGGTACTTTCCATTGACTTCTACCAAAGCCTAGAGCAGAAACACTATTATCTTCGAAGTGTTCAGATTTTGTTGCCTGAGTTTCAAATCTTTTCAATATCACCTATAGCTCTTTCATTTTTCCTTTTCATCTTAAAATCTCTGGCCTAATGGATAGATGTCTATAATGCTGTCATATTTTTCAATGATTGATTAAATCTTGATGATGCAGAAGGCAATTTTTTTCAGATAATGGAAGACTTAAAAAAAAACCTGACATGTGACAGAATATAGATCCAAAATGATAGTAGCATGGAATAATTAAAAAGAATTGAGCACTTTGAATACTCTGATTTCTCTTCAGATAGTATAAATCTTTCACCTTTTGAAAAGAATTGAGCATTTTGGGTAAGGAGTTCCAACCTTGCCATTTTCTTAGCTGTTTGACCTTGCATAAGTCAGTTTACATTCCGCTTTAATCTGATAACTGGATATAGCAATATCTCCTTTATAGGTTCATTGGTGGGTCATAGGTGTGTTATACAAACCTTAGCTGTTGCTCTTATTACTTGAATTTTGTCACACAGAAGCAATGACACCAAATCAGTAAGATTGAACTAAGTAAAGAAAACTGTGTGCATGGTAAATGGGAGTACCCAAAACAATGCAATTTAAAGAAAAATTGCATGGTTGATAAAGTGTCCCAGAGGGAGGAGAGTGGGGATAAATGGCAGCTTCAAGAAAAAAAAAAGTGGTTGATTTCCTTTTTTCATGAAATATATTAGTGTCCAAAGAGAATTTTGGTTTTGCATTAAGTCTCTCAATTATTTAGGGAGCATCTCTGGCCCATTCCTGACTGTATCTTCAGCAGGTGATCTGTCCAGGTAAGCAGGCCAGCCATGGTGCACTTTCATTGCTCTTTCAGGAATCACTTAAAAGACATTCCAGAAGCCATCTCTGAGAGCCAGCACGTGGCCTACTCTCACTGTGAGTTGGGTAAATGTTGGGTGGGGGCTTCTGGGACTATGCTGTGCCTGCACGTTTGTCTGTAATGACCCTTTATAGCCTAATGCCATTGTCAAGACCCATTTTTTTCTTCCACTCATGCCAAGTTTACAGAGCACCTCGAGAGAACCAGGGCTGCTAGGAGGACATACACAAACCTTAGGGAGGAGACAAACTTTCAGTTTTTCACTGCTGAGTTGCATGTTAGCTGGGGATTTTCATATAGCACCTGTAGTATGTTTAGGCAAGGTCCTTCTATTCCTAGTTTATGGTGTGTTTTTTATCCTGAAACGGTGTTAAGTTTTGTCAAGTCTTTTTTCCTCATTAGTTGAGGTGGTTGTTCCCAAAGGAGCATCTCTGGACAATTTTGCAGCCTTCCAAAAGTGTCTCGCAAACTCTGGGCTGCTGGGGCAGCTCATACTCTTTGCTTTCAGATCTCCTGTATGGGATGATGAAGGGAGCTGCCTTGTCTTTTTCGTATTGGAGAGAAAGCTAAAGTCACCTTCCTACAGGTAGAAACGGAAAGGCCTTTGCTCCTTCTGTTTTACTGCATTAAACCTCCCTAGGTATCTGCAGCATCTGGCATGCCCCTTAGGCTGACTTAATTTACTCAATTAAGTCAGAAACATCTTAACTTTTACATTTTGGTCAAATTAAACATTTAGATAAATTAAAATTCTCTTTTTTTAAGATTTAAAAAAAGTTATGCATACAGAGCTGGGGTATGGCCAGAGGTGCAGGGGCAGTGAGAGGATTCACCAGAGAC